TGGCTAACCTCACACGAGAGCTGACAACAAACAACTTTGAAAATCAACAATGTTCTTTTGAAACAAAAAAGTTCTTTTTGAAATTTCTTTACAGATGTTTAAACCCATGAAAAGAAATTTCAAAAACAATTTTCGTAGAGAAAAACAAGTTGCAGGAAGTTTCAGAAACTTTCTAAAAATTATTTTCACAAAAAAAAGAACTTTCAGAAAATTTCTGAAATTTTTATTTTACAACAAAGAAATTTGAGAAAATTTCTAGAAACTTTGTTTTTTCTGCAATCATGTGAAATAACATTTTCATATAATAACGAAGCAGACCTTGTCCTTGTTGAAAACAGGTTGTCCTTGTTCGAGCATTCTCCTGATGCGCAGATTTTTTTGGCCCAAAATGTCCATCCTCGGATTGGATCAGGTTTTGCAATTAGCCAATCGATATCAGGCGCTTGCCGATGGCGGAGATGGAGGAGATGGAGGAGTTGGAGACCGGCGCGGCCGTGGGCGTGGTCAATTCCGGCGCGGCCGTGGTCGAGGTCAACTCCCGCGCGGCCGTGGTCGAGGCCGGCTTGGCCGTGGCTTGATGCAGGCGAACCACAACCGGCAAGGAGAAGCCCGCAGGGCAGGTGCACTCTCTTCAATGAAGCAGCGGCAACTTGTTCGGCAGAGCCTGCACTTTAATAAGACGGGCCACGCCCGCACTTTGGATCATCAGCTGCCAGGCCAAGACGTCAAGAGGCGCAAGCCCACAGGCAAAGGGAAATAGAAGACCTAGACACCGGAGGCCGTCCTCAGGGTTGGTTTTGGAAATGAGACGGCAACTTGCAGACAGTTGGCAAATGAGGTGGAGGGAGCATCTCCGCAGGAGTTGTCCAGGTCTCGTCATTTGTTCGCCACATTTTGTGACCCGGATGCAAACCCTGCTTGGGCCAATTTGCAAGAGTTATTGGGAATTTTGAAAGATCTGGAACCTTTTTTGGCCCTTTTGGTTTGGAAGTTTGGTCCAGTTCCGCAGTGGCCACAGCCACGCCGGCGAATTGTCCGGAAAGCAGTTATGGTGATGACTTGGCAGCTGGCTCGGAAATTGGTTTTGCCTTGGCAGCAATACCCTTGGCGTTTATGGCCGCTGGCCTTAAAAGATGTGGACGAAGCGAAGCGCAAAGAGTGTGCCCGAGATCTGCTGAGGAGCCCGACTTGCTGTTTGGACAGTAGCTTTTCCAGGCGGCTGAGGCATTTGCATCCCCGTGAATCCGAATTGCTGAGCTCAGATGTTCAGACATTCTTGGCTACAGTGTTCGCACGGATTGCACCAACATCTACATTTATTGAGCGCTAATTTGCTCAATTCACCAACTGGTGTGAGAAGAAGCCAAAATTTGCCACCTTGGCCGCCAAGCACGTCACTAGCTTCTGCAAGGGCGCTGCCCAATCCTGGAGAAACAAGCATCCCAACCACAAGAAACCCAACCACAGACAGAGGCCAACCTGGGCGCAAGACAAAGCGAAGCGCACCACTGGATACAACATGTTTCTCTCAGAGTTTCGTATAAATACGCAAGGGCGGTCTTTCAGAGGAGATGGTGGCCGGTCGGAATTTGTGCAAAAAGCATCAGCTGCTTGGCAGAAGCTTTCGCAAGGAGAGAAGGCTTCATACGGCATGAGACCCCGGGGTATGAATAGCTTGAGAAATAGGAGCGCAGGCAGCTTGGAGGAAGAGGAGCTTGGCGCAGATGACAACGGAGGTTTGTGGGGCATGTGCCGTTTGAATGAGGCATGGCCAATTTCTGTTTGCGTTCTTCAAGCTGCTCTGGGAGAAGGGCGTCCAGCACTTAACAAAATCAGTGCTGAGTGGGAGCAGGCTTGCTTTTCCGGAAAATTTTCCAAGACAACAACTTGGTTGTTTGAAAAGGATTCTGAGCATACAAAATAATAATGAGTGGGATGATGTGTGCCATGTCATGTCATTTCGCATACAAATGTCAGAGTCAAAGCTATGTAAAAAAAATTATAATATATTTGTATATTTTGTGCTTTCTTATTCTATTTTCATTTTTTGTTTAGGCATAGATGCATCTATGACGTATGTATATTTAGCCCTATTAGGTAGACGTTGTTTTTTGAAATGCTGTACATTTTATTTTATGCATTTGCTAGGATCACGAAGCCTTGATTGAAGTTGGCGAAGACGAAAATCTGCCAGATGTCAGCGACAGCCTCTTTTCTGTTTGCCCTTGGGGCGGGTGCGAGGCCAGTTTGAGGGAAGATGAACGGACAATTTTTCGCGAGGTTCACGAGGATTTGTTGACTGCCGTAAGAGTGCACGAACCCTTAAAACGCGATGAAACGCGATCTTTCTGCTCACCCACTTGTGCTGCAATGGTGCTCTCCTGCATCTGGCAAGCAGAAATACATTGTTGTGGCCTTCAATGTCCGAAAGCCTCTCTGGGACATGGCCATGTTTCAATTGGAGCCGCTGAATGGCCACAACAGCCTCGACTGCCCCTTTGTCTTGGAGCTCGAAGGTCAAGACAGAGGATTCTCGCTTCAATCCTTGTACTCCGATATGGAATTCTGCATTGATCTTGCAAGAGAAGCCTTGTTGGGCGCGCTGCGCTGGACAGACATACATTGAAACGGGCAGCTGAGGAGATAAAGCAGATTCAAAGGGCTGCTAAAGCTGCAAAGCTAGCGCAAGGTCTGACAGCTATCAAAAAACGAAAACGAAGGACCCAAGGCAAGCGGAAGACAAGTCAGAGGCCGCTGGCCGCATCAGCTGCGCAAGACATCTCAGATGCAGAGTGGGCATCGGATTCTGATTCTCTCACAGAAGATGCAGAAGATGCCCGCAAACCTTGGGAAAGGCAGCACATCTGCGCCTCCAGGTCCAGCCGTCAGGCGGCAGAAACAGTCTCGAGCCATCCCATGTGGACCCTTCCAAATAATAGCTCCAATCATCCCTTCTTCCGGTCAGACAGGTTGGGGAGCTATCTGCGGGCAATATTGCGATCGGGGCAACACTTTGTTTTGCAAGAAGGCAGTGAGCCGTGGTAGCACTCTGACCGATGCTGTGTGCATCTTGCGCTTCAAGTGACGGCTCATTGCCGGATGCTCTGATGCTGACTGGCCGATCCACAGGTAGAGATCACACCACGTTGAGCTTGGCGGCAAAGGGCTGCAGGACTTTGCCGAGGGTATGTCGGAAGCGGAGATGGATGCACTGGTGGAGTCATGGCGTTGACCCGCATGTCTGGCTGCTGCGCCTGGAACCGAGGTTTGCCACTTACTCGCACTTACTTAGACACAGTCCTCATTGCACACGCGTTTATTTCCATGGCGCACATGTGCACACACAGTCGCGCACAGAATGCTCTCGAAATATTGAAATACATGACATGTTTAAACAATGTTTCTAAAAGAAGTTCCCGGTAAACTGAGAAAGTTTCACTAAAGATGTTTCGTAGAGAAAATAAGTTGTTTCGTAGAGATTTTTTTCCCGCAATACTACTTTTAATTAGCAAGTAAAATGTATCCGTAGAGAAAACATGTTGTTTCGTAGAGATTTTTTCTTGCAAATTTGAAACAACTTTCTTGATATATTTCAGTAACTTTGTTCATATTGTTTCCGACAAGTTTTTTCGTATTCTCCAAACCCTGCCCCAGGAAAGCCGCTCTCACATCGACATTTGTATGCATTTGACTCCTGCCTGAAAAAAGAACCTGCGCTGCAGCCTTTGCCTTTGACAGCCATGACTTGTTCTGTAACCAACCCAAACTATATATTGAAAGTTTAGCATCCTTTTGTTAGCACGATTCCCATTGGTGACATTTGTTTTATTGATTTTATTGACATGACCTTTTGCTAGGGCGCTGCCCTTTGCTGACAGTTTCTGTTGCTCAAGCGACCCAGCGTACAGTGCCATGGCAGAGGAGGATGCTGTTTCAATTGCAGCTTCCAGCACAGCTGGGCCAGCTTGCCGCCTGGCTTTGCTTCCTGTGTCCTTCACGCTGAGTAAACCGTGCTGTTGCTGCCTGTGCAATTCCACAAGCACAGACCGCTCTCCGCTGAACACACAGAGGAACTGGATTCATATGGGGGGGCGCGGCCCTGGGGGAAGTACCGCAAAGTACGAAGTGCCGAGACAGATTCGTTCTTCAAAGTTGGCGGTGTCCGGTCATGGCACGCCCTTGTGACGGCCGTATCTTGAGGGCGAGGCCAAGCCTTGATGATGACGCTGTGAAAAAATGTGAAACAGAGTCTGCTGTCCGCAAGGTCGCTGGCCAGGAGTTGTTGACGGGCTCCTGGCTTTACAACTTGTCCAGGGAGTTTTGAGATTGTGCCAGAAGATTCAGATGGCACCAAAGAGACTTGCTTGGGGAGCTGCAACATTGACATGGGGATCCATGTGTTCAGGATCAGAGCGCCCAGCTTGGGTAGTGGCTGCGCTGAACCAGCTGTTCGAGGAGGAGGGGTCAAGCTTCAAACTTGAGCACATTTTCTCCTGCGAGTTCTCGCCTGAAAAAAGAAAATGGATCCACGCTTCTTCTGTGCTCGCAGAGCCAGCTTGTGCAAAATTAGCTACGATCGTGGAGCGGACGCGGCCGCTCCTTGTGTTTTCTTCGACATTTTGGAGATGGTCGCTGCCCAGGCTGATTGCTGGGAGCACGTGCCTAGCAAGTGCAGCGTACCAGGCGTAAATCTTCTCATAGTTGGTACAAGTTGCAAAGATATATCCCGCCAGAATGCAACAAGCGCGAGACAAGAGCTGGTGCTGCAGGCTGAAAAATCCAAAGGCGGCAGCGCGCAAACCTTTCAAGGCCTCATGAGGTATGTGGAGCGTCACAGGCCGCTTATAATCTTGTTTGAGAATGTGGATGCAATGGACGATGTGAGCCTTGGCATTGCCCACGTTCATTTTTTTAATCCATCAAGAATATTCCTTGTAGTCTCAAACCCACACAGATATTTACAACTTAGGCGTCATTGATCCCAAACAGTTTTTGTCTCAGCTACTTATTAAGCAATGACATATATATAGACTAATCCCGATGTCAGATGCTGTGCAGCAGTGGTTTGAGGCTATATAGTCTAAAATAAGTTTCCAATTTACATATATAACGAAAGAAATTGAAACCTGCTTGCGTTTGGATTGGCTGATGCCGTGCGAAAAGTTTTTGTTTTCCTTCGCATGTAGAGGAAAAACTGGCGGCCAATCCAACATGGATGTGTTCCTCAGCCAAATGGCAGCCCATGGGTACGAATGCCAGCCTGTCCTCACAGACAGCAGCGAGTTTGGCTTGCCTGCAAGCCGCCGGCGCTTGTACGTCTTTTTGGTGCGGGTGGAAGCAAATCCTTTGCTGTCCTTCCAGGATAGAAGCGTGGATTCCATCTTCTCCGCATTTGGCGGCCTTTTGTCTGGATGTGTGAGGCAAGGGCCTTGTGCTTCCGAAGTTCTTTTGGCTGACGATGACCCTGCGGTGCTCGCTGACTTAACCCATCGGATGCAGCGACGCGAAGAGCTCAGTCAATATGAAAAGCCTTCGAGCACAGAGTGGGCAGATCACCACATGAAGATGGCAGAATCTTTGCGGGTGAGGTGGGACCAGGGGGCGCAGCCCAACGTCTCCAACAACTCATGGTACAAGACTTTGACTGACAGAGAGCAGGACGCGCTCCCGCTCCTACAAGTCCAATCCCCTGGTAGCCTCATGCGGGATTTGTCCCAAAGCATTAACCGCGCCAATGCCTTTACTTGGAAGGCAGAAGCAGGAAAGCACATCGCGCCCACCATGCTTCCAAAGATGAATTTATGGCTTGAACCTGTTCCACCTCGGAACGCAGCTCGGGGGATGTTAGGCCGCGAAGCCTTACTATTCCAAGGATTTCCAGCGCTTGCTGTTTTTGGAACGCTTGGATACTTTTCAAGCTCAAGCGGAGGCCGCTGGCCTGGTTGCCCAAGCTGCGCAGCAGTCAAATACCAAGCCGCTTGTGAAAAGGGCCAAGCATCCTCACCAAGTCAATGAGAGGATTGACTTCAGGAAGCAAGACCTCTTGCTCACTTGGCGGCCCACAGAGACAGTAATGCAGGACTTAGCTGGCAACACTATGTCATTGCCGGTGGTCATGACGATGTTGCAATGCGCATTTGTCGCTGTGAACTGGCAATCCGCTGGCGAAGTGAGGCGAGCTGCTGATGCACCTGCGACGACGCAGCAGGACTGACATGTAATATCAACAACACTGTAGGGGCAACATAGTTTTGTTTTGCCACAAACCAAGCCCTTCCCAACACCTGAGCTTCCTTATCACCTGCTTCCCCTGGCCCCCTGACAGGATGTTACTTCTGCAATGGCAGCCCTACGGGCAGTTGGGCTGTGTGAGGCCGCTGGCGTAGAGCCAAGCACTCCAAGCACTCTTGAGGGTGCGGAGCAAAAGGAGCCCCTTACGAGAGGAGTCGCCAACTTGAAGCGTAAGCTTCAAGAGAGGAAGTCGCAATGAGGTTTGCGTGGCTGGCTGAAAAACGCGTCGCTGCCAGCCCGGGGCGGCTAAGGGCAGAACAGGGTTGAGTGATATAATATAATATGATATATGATAGGTATATGTATATATATGATAGGTATATATGGTAGGTATATATAATAGGTAGCTGATAGGTTTTGTTAGTTCCTCCACATGGTTTTGGGATTCCTGAGGTTTATGATAAGGATTTGTCCGGCCTTTTTTGGATACTGGAAGTGATGCATGATCACTGCTGATATAAATGTTTTCACTGTGGGTGGGAGCCTGTCATGGAGCTTAGTAGACATATCGTAGCATACATTTTCGCACATATAAAATTGACATCCTTTCAAGAATCAACATTGTTTTATTAAAAAACAAAAGAAAAAGAACATATCTTGAATTAAAATTAAAAGCAACCAAAAACACAACTTTTTTGAAGCCTAAAAAACTTCAAAAAGAAATTTCAAAAAGTAGTTGTTTACCAAAAAACAATTTTTATTGGTCAAAAACTTGTTTTTACAATTTCTTTTTGAAAGTTTCTACGAATTATAGAAAGAATTTGTATCTTTCAAAAAGAAGTTAGAAAGTTACAAAAGAAATTGCAAAAAGAAATTTCTAATTTTAGGTACCGTCAATGCTCCATTTCAGGCTCCTACCCACAGGCCTTCTAAAAACACCCAAATTATATATTTTAATTTTCGAAATATGTATTATAAAATTATAAATAAATTATCTATATAATAAATATATTTTTCTTTTCTAATCTATATTCTAATTTAATTATTCCAATTATTTAAATTCTAATATTATTTGATTTTTCCTAATCCAATTATTTTCTATAATAATACATTTAAATATAAAATATTATATTTATATATATATATAATATTACATTATTAAATAATTAAATTATTTTTATAAAATTAAATATTCAAAATTGACCTTACCCATTCCCAACAATTGACCAATTTCGTTGATGAAAATCAAGAAAATATGAAAAAGAAAGAACAAATAACTTAATAACAACCACATAGCTCCCGAATGAGAGGAAATGAAACCAAATTTGGGTAATTAAGAATTCTGACAATAAGATAATCGAACCAATTCCCTCTGCGACCAGCAGCCGGATGAGCAACAAATCAATTCTTTTTTTGGTCACTTCACTAGCCCGAAGCACTCCCCCATGCCTCAGATTTGGGCGTCAAATTTCAGATTAAATTTGCTGGTAATTTTCAATACATACCAACCGCGACATAATTAACTCAATTTCATCTAAATTACAACGGCACACTTCAGTACCCAGAGGTTTTCAATCTTATGCTACGGGAAGACAAGGATGGTTCCTGCTATTGGCCCTTTTGGCAATTGATGTCGATCGCACAACAATGCCCTAATCATCCGAAAGTAGCCAAGAAGATATGTAAGCCAGTGCAGCCTCTTTGGACCAACTTGTTCCTTTGAAATTGGGTCCATTGTTATTAAAAAAAATTAATGTTTCGGTTTCCCTTTTTTCAAATTTAAAATCCGGAGGTAAAAAATATTGTACAAAGGGTTTTAACATATTTTTATAACCATAAATCGTTTTGTAATTAAATAAAAAAATTATAATATTAATAATCAAATTATAAAATAAAATATATATTTTTAAATTTCAAAATTATATTTTAAAAATAAATATTTTTTATTTTTACGAATTATAATCACTATTCAATATGTTTTTACAAAATATTATATTCCAAAATATATATCATATTTTCGCAAATTTTAATATATAAATATATTATTATTATTTTTTAAATATATATATTATTCTTCAAATTCCAATTTAAAATATAAAAAATAAAAATTAATCAAACATATTTTTTTTTTTTATTAACCTAAATTTTAATTATAAATTATATATTATTAATAATTTTTAATATTTCTTATATATAATTTATCATAATAATATAAAATAATAATTATTTTATTTAATTCAAATATAAAATAATATAATTATAATTATAATTTATATAATTATAATTATAATTTATTAATTATTACTAATAAATATTAATATTAAATAAATTAATTTATCATTAAATAAACAAAATAAAATATAAAATAAAATAAATTAATACATATAAATATTATATAATTATTTTTTAATAAATTATTAAAATATATATAATTAAATATTATAAAAACATAAATAATTTTCAATATATACAACAATTATTTAAATTAAAATATAATTAAATATATCATATATTTATATTCTAATTCTATTATATTATTTAGAATTTAATATATTATTTTATAATATCAAAATATTTTCCAATAAAAACATATAATTATAAATTATTATATAAATAAATTTAATAATTTATTATTATATTTATTATATATAATTATTTATTATTCGTAATACATATAATTAACATAGGTAAATTCTTTCGGATATAAAGATTAAATTTCCATATTATCTAATAAAATAGGGTATAATAAATAGGTTATATTATATTATTTTTGGATAATTTTGTTATCTATATACAAATAAATACATATATATATATTATTATAGATATATATAAATATATTTATAGTGTTGTCGTAAATAATATCAAATAATTATATAAATAAATGTGTTTAGATTATAGATGGCGAGATCTAATCGATCATACCAACAAAATCCTTATGTCCTATCACACCCTGTTACAGATTAGTTTGAAATTACTATTACAAATATAAATAATGGAATCATATAAACATATATTTCAAATTTAATTTCTAATTCAATATATATATATATATATTCTATTATATATTATTGTCAATTACTATTTCAAAATTGTATGTTTTTTGAATATTGCACCGTTCCCCCGGTGTTCTTGTGCCTACGATAGCCCATGCATTCGTTCATCGGTACGTTGTAATGAGAAGAATGACGAATGCACCGATCTGATGTAGACACATACCCTTGAAGTTCAATATGCAAAGCCAGTGCAATGTAATGTGGACAGCAGTTGCCCCTGTTGTTCCACACACTTTGAGAATGGTCCAGTTTAGTTGAAACACACCCCGTTGTTCCTCGTTGCAATGGAAGCTGTGACAGCTTGTTTGAAACCGAAGGTGGAAAATTTCATTCTTTGTAATTACGACTGGACTGTGCCATGTGGCAGGTACTCTTTCGGGTGTTTTTTCAGTACTGAGAACTCGGAAAACAGGGTTCACCGTCTCAAATTACCTTGTTAGGAAGCACTATCGGGATCCCCAATACAAAATTATCTGAATATCTGATCGATCGACTAGAGGCTCTTGAAAATACCTTCGTTTGCACCTTGCGATACCTCTTCGCTTTGCATTTCTGAACTCCAGTCGTGACAGCGACGACACCCTAAAAAATCAGCCGCTCGACACGTGCTGGGACATTTGAAACATACGCAGTGCGTATGACCCCAGGCCCAGCAACCTCAGTTGTCACGCCGCGTCCACTCTCCACCTCTGGGATGTCAAACGGAACTGGTGGTACTGGTCAAGACTATGTCACCAAGCGGGGTGAACTATGGTGAAACAGCATGCACTGTATCTGGTTGGTGGTATACCTACCCCTCTGAAAAAATATGATTTCGTCAGTTGGGATTATTACATTCCCAACTGAATGGGAAAATAAAAAATGTTCCAAACCACCAATCAGTAATTGTATGTGTATATATATATATATATATTTATGTGCAGTTTGTACCATGGCGTCATTGAGGGTTTTGAAGCCGCAAAATGCGACGGATGATGACAAAAGCTTCCTGCATCTTCCTTATCACAATAAGGGCCTCCGGTAATCAGCCCCAGCAATGGCACAACATCATTTTTAAGACATGTTGTACCCTCTGGTAATTTGTAACATAGCTATTGAACATGGTGATTTATAGTGGATTTACCCATTGAACATGGTGATTTTCCATAGTTTTTATGTTAGTTTACCAGAGGGTATCTTGATTCGTGCGGTAAGTCGCTATTGTGTCGTGAGTTTTTTGAACATCATTCTAGCCATGTGCATTGATGGGGGGTGCGTCTATGACGTGTCAAGATTTTTCCCACGCCAATATTTGTTCAGAATGATTTTTTTTCAGTAAACTGCTGTTTTTTTAAATCAAAAAATGGTTCAAGAATCGAAAAACATGCTAAATTGTTTTTATCCAATTCCAACAATATAGAATTCCTTATTAAAACCAGCTTTTAAAACAGCAAGCAAACAATATTTCAATATGGGATTTTTTATGGTGTTTCTATGGGATTGCTATATGATTTCTACGGGTTTTCTTTGTGGTTCCGATGATATGTCTATGGGATTTCTATGGGATTCCTATGGGAATTCTATGTGGTTTCGAGGATATTTCTATGGGATGTCTATGTGATTTCTATGTTGTTTATTTCTATGGTATTGCTATGGGATTTCAATGAAATTTCTATGGGATTTGTATGGTGCCTCTATGGAATGTCTATCGGGCTTCTATGCAATTTCTGTCGGATTTCTATGGGATTGCTATGGGAGTTCTATGATATCCTTAGATTTATTTAACTTAAAAAACAAATCAATTGACAGTAAATTGAACTTAATTGAAATCCTTACTTAAGATCACGGTCCAAACCCTCAAAATTTACCAGACTAAAGAGACACCTCCAATTTGTTGAAGGGGGGCCTTACACTAATCAGGATCCGACATTAGACATCTGTTCTTATA